TATGGTATTTTTCTTTCTCTTTCTGGCTTACTTCACTTAGAGTGAGTCTCCAGGTCCATCCATGTTGCTGCAAATGGCATTATTTTAGTCTTTTTTATGGCTGAGTAGTGTTCCATTGTACAAATATACCACATCTTCTTTATCCAGTCATCTGTCGATGGACATTTAGGTTGCTTCCATGTCTTAGCTATTGTAAATAGTGCTGCTGTGAACATTGGGGTGCAGGTGTCTTTTTGAATTAAGGTTCCCTCTGGATATATGCCCAGAAGTGGGATTGCTGGATCATATGGTAGGTCTGTTTTTAGACTTTTAAGGAATCTCCATACTGTTTTCCACAGTGGCTGCACCAAACTGCATTCCCACCAGCAGTGTAGGAGGGTTCCCTTCTCTCCACAGCCTCTCCAGCATTTGTCATTTGTGGGCTTTTGATAATGGCCATTCTGACCGGTGTGAGGTGACACCTCATTGTAGTTTTGATTTGCATTTCTCTGATAATTAGTGATATTGAGCGTTTTTTCATGGGCCACTTGTTTCTTTTACTATGTTTTTTGAATTATTTTCTCAGCGGTTTCCCTGGGATTTATTGCCGTTGCTGCTTATTGTCATTTGTTTAATGACATTTCTGAACTAATTCTGTAAAACCTGTCTTCTGTGCCGTGTGTGGTCACTAAGTCTCTGTTTCATCAGCTTAGTGGTCAGGTACTGCCCAGACAGAGATTTCCTTAATGCCTGGAACCAGTAAGTCTCCCGGTCTTTTTGATGGGGCTCTGTGGATGTTGGGCTACACTTTTCCCCTCAGCCAGGCAGTTGACAGCCCTCAGGTTTTCATTCTAATCTTCCTGGTTAGTTTCCTGTTTGTCCCAACTGTTATCTATTACCTCAGGCAACCACAAAGTTCATTTTTGCCTGTAATCATTTTCCTTTCTTTCTTTCTTTGGTCATCATTTTCAACAATCACCCTTGAGGAAAAGGCTTTTCATACTGGGTGAGCTTGGAACCAAGTCAGATGCAGACAGCCTTGCAAGGGGGGTCTTGCAGGGCACCACCAGACGGCTCAGATGATGACAGGTTTGTGGGAAAGCTGCTTTGACAGTGCTCCAGCTCTGGTCTGCTCTGTCCGGGGTGGGGGTGGGGGGCGATCAGTGTTCACCGTGGATGTGAGTTGTTATTTTCAAGGCTATTACAGAGTTGGAGAGCGGAGGATGGGCCCAGGGCAAACTGAAATACATCACAGCTTGGACAGGACGTGAAGAAACTGGAGCCTACGTGCACTGCCGGTGGGAACATAAAATGGGGCAGTCACTGTAGAAGACAGTGGAGGGTCCTCAAAAAATTAAACAGAGAATTAATTACCACAGGGTCCAGCAATTCCACTTCTGGGTATACAGCCCACAGAACTGAAAGCAGAGTCTTGAAGAGATACTTCACAACCATGTTCACAGCAGCTGAGACGAGGATGCCACCCGAGTGTCCACTGATGAGTGAATGAGCAAAACGTGGTCTCTGCACAGCAGAATACGTCTCAGCCTTAAAAAGGAAGGATATTCTGACTCCCACTAAAATCAGATGAACCCAGGACACTATGCAGAGTGGAGTAAGCCAGCCACAGAAGGACAAATGCTGTGTGAGTCCACTTACACGAGGTCCCTAGAGGAGTCAGCCTTGCAGACAGAAAGCAGAATGGCGGCTGGGGGGCTGGTGGGGAGGAGGGAGTTACTGCTCAGCAGGAACAGAGTTTCAGTTTTGTAGGATGAAGAGTTCTGGGGACGGGCGGTGGCGACGGCCGCACAGCGGTGTGAAAGTACTCATGCCCTGAGCTGTGTGCTTAGAGGGTTAAGATGCTAAAAACCAAAACCTCATATCTGTTCTTATCAAGATTCAGCTAATTTTCTTGATTGAAAAACAAGAAACAAAAAACAACTCTAAAGCCTGCTGCAAGCCTTCGGCCAATTTCCAGGGTGCTGAAAAAGCTTGTTCTGACCATTTGGCCTGTTGTCTCCCTGCTTTTACGGATGAGTGTTTTCAGAGGTCCATCCTCTGCCTTTTTTTGCTGAGGTCCTGGCATCTGAACTGGGATGAAGACACATGGCAAATTCTCCTGCACAGACAGGCCTGTCTTTATGGGAGGTAGGCGGCTGCAAAGGAGGGAAAATCCGTGTTTACAGCCACATAGGAGCAGCTCTCTTCCCAGACCTGTGGTCAGCAGCTGCGGCTGGCCTCCTCGGGACAGTGGGAAAGTGGGGCAGAAGGCGTTACTGTGAGACTTGGTGAGTGTCTTGGCTTCTCTGGCTCTCCTGCAAGCCAGGCTTGGTTACAGGAGTGACCCTTACAGAGGGCAAGCCAGCTTGCCAGGCCCCCACGGTGTGTTGTTGAGGGGGGGGCGCTCCGTTCGCCCAGCCCTGCTTCTAGCGTCTCCCCGGACTGCAGAGGCCACAGAGCTGAGCCTGGGGCCTGGGTGCCTGACCGATTCAGCCTCCACCGACCAGAAGAGCTCGGGGAAGCCTGAACCCAGAATGGAGTGGAGCGGGGCTGGGGGTTTCCAGGCAGGTGGGGCCTCAGGAGTTGGTGGGCAGCGTCCGCTTGCGGCTCTAGCCTGGAAGTCCTTCTTGGAACTCAACTACCTCAAAAGTCTGTACGCTGCCTGACGCGCAGGCAGACCCGTCTGCTTAGGCAGCGGACTTCTCTGCAGGAGGCGCTGTGACTGTAACCAGGCCGGCTGGCCAGGTGCCCCTGGGGCAGGGTGGGAGGGGTCCTCTCTGAGACCCTCGATGGGTGGAGCTGGGTGCGCACAGGGAGGAGCTGCTGAGACAGGATGGGGGGCGGGACCAGTGGGCCCCCTGGACTGTTAGGACTGGAGGCCTGTGTGTGCTGTCTGCGGCGTCCGGCGGGGACGGGGCCCTCTGTAAACGTCTGGTAACAAACCAGCAAACAAAGGGGGGCCTGTTGACTGGGGAGACCCTGGGGAGCCAGACTCCCACGGAGGCAGCGTGTCCCCGTGGGGCCCCAGTGAGGCGGCCCCGGAGGCCTGTCCATGCCCGGGGACAGCCCTGAAAGAGCCCTTGTCACACAGGCCTGGAGGCCCCCGGACCGGACGCAGCGCGGAAGGTCCCACTGGAGCCCAGAGCCCCTCAGCACCTGGGTTCTGAGTGGCGCCACAGCGCCACAGTTGCCTGCCCTCGGCAACTCCCACATGGACCCTGCAGACTCTACACCCCACTGAGGGCCAGCGTGAGCAGCACAGACCACCCCTCTCCCGACTGCCCCGTTGGGACAAAGTTGCACAACTGCCCAAAGTCCACCGTCGGCAATGCTGGCTCATAAAGGACGCCTGTAAAACTGCAAACACCCTGGAGGATGGGCCCGGCAGGCGCTCCCTGGTGCTGTAGGCAAAACCGAGCTACACAGCCCAAGGGCCTGGGGTGGGGAGGCCCTGCAGCCACCAGCCACGGGGGGCGAGCGGGTACGGAGAGCTGGGGAGGTGGGTGTAGACAGGACCCTGGAGCCAGAGGGGAGGTGGCTGCTGGCAGGGAGTGGGGGTCTGCAGAGGCCACAGCCCTGGCCTCATTCCCCTGAAGCCTCGAGGGGACTGACCATGGAGTGAGTGACAGGACAGGACCCTGACCTGAGTGTCAGCACATCACCAGGCACTCGCTAATGACAGGACTTCAGCTACAAGATGCGCCCAGTCCCCCGCCTCCCTAGTCTAGGGAGTAGGGCTGTGTCTACTGGGTCTCTCCTGTGTTCCCAGTGCTGAGACCCAGCAGTGCTCGACACATGTTCACAAATGGATGGATTCGGGGGGAGGAGGAGGGAGGGACCACCTGTGTGCACAGAGGAACCTTCTGTTTGTAGGGTTGCAAATGCTTTCCAAGTGCTACCTCATTTGATCCTTAGTGGGAGAGAGGATGTAGCATCCTGGTTTGCAGAAGAGTCTGAGGGTCAGAGTGGTTTTCAGTGAGTCCAGGACTCACAGTGTAAGCAGGGTCTCTCCCACCTGAGATCCAGCCTGGGCCAAGGGGCCACAGGTCGCCTGTTCCCAGGCCTCCCTCCGTGCACCTTTCTGAGCATGGTAAAGAACCGGCCCCCTCCCATGTCCCGCTGAGTCACAAGAACCCCTCAGGCATGCTCTTGGGGAACACTCCACTGCCAAAGGAAATGCCTCCCTGGCCCCCCTCCTCTCTGGCCCCTCCCTGCAAACAGAGGGTCCCAGCCTTCAGCCCCCACTGGCCACACATTGGGTGGAGCCCTGGGGGCAGAGCCTATCCTCGGGGTGCAGGGGGCTGGGAGGGAGCCCCCTGGAAAACAGTGCGGACCCTGAGGCCACCCCTCTACCCCTGCCAGCCAGCGGGCGAGGTACAGCTTGTGCCGGAGCCGGTGCAGTGTTTCCTTATTTTGGGGACCGAACAGTCCTGGGCCCACCCCCACTTCCTCTCCTCAAACCCAAACCAGCCACTTCTCCAAGGACAGGCTTGCCCTTTCTGCCCACCTGCCCTCACGTTTGACAAGGCTCCCCCCCAGCTACGTCTGTGAAGGGCTGGCTTTCAGCTCAGATACCAACCAACACTGCGCCTCCTTGGCCTGAGCGCCCGAGCCGGCCTCACAGGCCAGGGGCTTCTGGGAAGCCACACAAAGATATCTGCACACATCACCTTTCACAAAGGTTTCCTTTTGAAAAATACATCTGTTTTTCAGAAGACACTGCAGTTTGTGTTAACGTGTAACAGGTTTCTGTTTGTCCTGTAAGTGAGGCAAGTAAGTACCCTGGGGCTTCCGGCAGGTCTCGATCGTGGTGAGAATTGACAGGTAAAACACACACACAGACGCACTGTGGGTTCTCAGCGACTGCTCAGAGTGTAAGGGGTCCCGAGGCCAAATGTTTGAGGACCACTGAGCCGGGATCTGTCCGGAGCCTTAGAACCTGGGGTCTGAACGGGCGTTCGCAGCTGCTCCCCTGCGGCTGTGCCACTTACTTGAAATACAGGTTAGATCATTTGTTTTTGTTTGCCTTCTATTTTTGTTGATTCTATTTATTTTCTCTCTTTTTTTGAATACGTAAACCATTAACGCGGCTTCAAAAGCGAGAACGAGACGCTCCCTTCCGAGCTTTGCAGCTCCCAGGGCGGCTCTTACACGTGAGACCGGCCCCCGTCCTTGCCTCCCCGGCTCCCGGGCTGTGACAAGGGTTCCGGAAACATTTTCCTGACAGTGAGCAGGAGTAACTTCAGAATCTGCTGGAGCCCCTCCCCAGGGAGGGAAGTCGGGGGCCCGGGCCGCCCCTCAGCCCTTCGGGGAGGGCCGCCGCCTGGCTCTGATTTCCTTTGGAGGGACAGCGTCCAGGTGCCCTGGCCAGCAGTGTGGGTGGCACGGTGGCTCTGTGCGTGGCAAGGAGGCAGCCGTGTTTGCTGAACCCTGAGCCGCAAAGCCAGGGGTGCCTGAGCCCGGAGGCCCCACTCCCTAGCACTGGACTGACGCCAGGCCCAGCCCTGCCCAGGGCGAGGCACTCGCTGGCTGCCCAGGGCTGCGGGCAGTGGCACCACCTCCAGGGAGACACTGGGTAGGGCCTGGTGGGAGGAGAGGACTGGGAGGGAGAGGAGAAGGGGTGGGCGGGAGGGAAAGACAAAGGAAGGGGTGCGGCAAGCGGCGGCGGCGCCCCAGGGAGGAGTGACCTCAGTGCTGGAGCTGCATCTGCTGAGCGTCAGAGCAGGGCTGGCAGCCAGGCCAGCTCCGGGCCCTGAGGTCCCTTCTCTCCTCTCCCCCTCATCCCAGCTGCTGCTCGCTGGTGGCCCTGGTGGAGGACCTGGGACCTCATTGGTGGCCGGGGGCTGTCCGCGGCATAAATTGGAGCTCTGGGCTCTGCTGGGACCTTCGGCTGCCCAGGGCCCTCTGGTCACTCCAGCTGGGTGAGTACTGCGTGTGCCGTCCCCACCCTAGATGCCCTGGCCTTCTGGCGCCTTCCCCTCCCCCTGCCCAGAGCCCCGCAGCACCCCAAGAGGGAGGCCCAAGAGTGCCCTCAAGTCCGGGGCACGCCATCCTCCAGGTTGCCAGGGTTCCCTCAACCGCAGTGCCAGAGGCATGCACTCAGGACAGCCGCAGGGCGCTGAGCCGGCTGTGAGCTCCTGGTGCCAGGCGTCCGTAACCTGCCAGGCACCTGGGTTCCTGTAATCCGACCCGGCGTGGCTTTCCAGCCACCGGGTCAGCCCAGCCCAGGCCAGGGGGGGGACACGGATGGATGTGCCCAGCCGTCCTCAGAGGCCCATACCCAGGGGTCTGTGCTGCAGGGCGTCTGGGACCTCCCTCCCTCCTCTCCTCCTAGCTGATGGAAACCCCGAGTGCGGCTGTCACCAGGGGCAGGGTCCTCTGGGCCCTCCTCCTGGCCACGCTTGGCTCCTCAGCTGGACAGCCACTTGGGGGAGAGTCCATGTGCACTGCCCAGGCCCTGGCCAGGTACAGCATCACCTTCACGGGCAAGTGGAGCCAGGCGTCCTTCCCCAAGCAGTACCCCCTGTTCCGCCCGCCCGCACAGTGGTCATCCCTGCTAGGTGAGTGCAGCCCTGAATATCCAGCAGTGACTCCCCTACCTGGGCGGGGACAGTCACCCAACGGTTGCACTGCACTTCACAGTTGGTAGGGCACTTTCATCCAATTCATTTCAGTGCAGGAAATGTTATTACTAAGTGCCGACTGTGTGCTGGCAGCCACGTTCTGGACTTTGGGGATGTGGCGGGGGTAGGGTGGCCAGGGTCATGGGCAGGCCAGACACTGGTCACACCAGCGAGGTGCTGGGCAGCACGAGGCAGCCAGCAGGACATCCCCTCTGCACGTGGCGGGTGGACTGCCGTCCGGCCATGCTGGGGGAGGCAGGACGGGTCCACTGGGCAGGCTGCTCACGCGGCGGGCGGCGCCCACAGGGGCAGCACACAGCTCCGACTACAGCATGTGGAGGAAGGACCAGTACGTCAGCACCGGGCTGCGGGACTTCGCAGAGCGGGGTGAGGCCTGGGCCCTGATGAGGGAGATCGAGGCGGCTGGGGAGAAGCTGCAGAGCGTGCACGCGGTGTTCTCAGCCCCTGCCGTGCCCAGTGGCACCGGGCAGACGTCCGCGGAGCTCGAGGTCCACTCCAGGCACTCGCTCGTGAGTGGGGCGGCCACAGGAGGGAGGGTGTGGGGTGCGGTGGCCCCTGGCTGAGCACCCGGCTCCCCAGGTGTCCTTCGTGGTCCGCATCATCCCCAGCCCCGACTGGTTTGTGGGCGTCGACAGCCTGGACCTGTGTGACGGTGACCGCTGGCGGGAGCAGGTGGCTGTGGACCTCTACCCCTATGATGCTGGGACAGACAGCGGCTTCACCTTCTCGTCCCCCAACTTCGCCACCATCCCACAGGACACGGTGACCGAGGTGAGGGCCAGCGGTCTCCTCGGGGAGGCGGCTCTCTGGGTGCCTGGCTCTGCCCCTCGTTTAGAAGATACCCCTGTTGGTCGCGTCCCAGTGGACAAGCAGCTGCATCGCAGGGAGGGGGCGGAGGCCACAGGCCACGGAGGAGAGGTCAGGGCCGTGCCGCGTGGCACCAGAGGGGCCGCTCGGGGTCTGTTCTCCGCACTGCCCACTGGACCCCTAGCTCCAGCTCGCGACTGGGTGACTTGCACACGTAGGCGCTCCTGTTCGCCAGCCCTCGCTGACGCCCTCCCCTCCCCCAGATAACAGCCTCCTCCCCCAGCCACCCCGCAAACTCCTTCTACTACCCGCGGCTGAAGGCCCTGCCTCCCATGGCCAGAGTGACCCTGGTGCGGCTCCGGCAGGGCCCCAGGGGCTTTGCCCCGCCTGCTCCGGACCTGGTGGGCAGGGGCAACGAGATTGTGGACAGCCTGTCAGGTAAGCCTGGTTCCCGCCGCGGGGCCGCTCCTCTCTTCCCTGCCCTTCACATGCAGGGTCCCGGGCACCACGCGCTCGAGCTGGCGGGCGGCTGAGACACCCACCCCTGGCCATGTGGGGACAGGAGCGCCCCTCAGTGTGTGTGTGTCACTGAGACGTCAATGCCGCTGGCCTCGAGCCCCCGCACAGCTCTTCTTGCTCAGCCTTAGAAAAACCCTCCGAAGTGAGTGTCCACCCTGCTGCCCGCGTGCACCCCCACGAGGGTGACAGTCAGGGCCCAGGCCCCGCCCCGCCTGTCCACCCTCTGGGGAGCACCCCCTCGCCAGCCGCACTCACACATGAGGCCACAGAGCTGCGAAATGTCGCTCTGTTCCAGAGGCCATGCAGGGGGCGAGGAGGGGGTCAAACCAGGAGAGGCCGCGGGGGCTCAGACGCTGTCTGGGCCGCGTGAACCCGTGTCTCTGAGTGACTTCAGAACAGGATCAGAGCATCCGGGGAGGAACGTGGGTCCTGAGAGACTGGGGTTTGGTTCACAAACCCCAAACTGAGGAGCCAGTGTTTTCGGCTGAAAGCTTTCCAGCCTGCAGCCCAGAGGTGCGTCCCGGGGCCCAGCCCGGCTCCCCAGCGTCCCAGCTGACGGGGAAGACCTGCGCCAGTGGGTCCCTTGCGGCCCTCCTCACAGGGGTCCAGTGGAGGCGGCAGCGCCCGCCACGGAGGCGGGTGCTGGGCAAACGTGGGTCTGTGCTCCCGCAGCGGTCAGCTGCCCAGACGGTCAGTGACTGGGACAGCAGAGCAGGTGGTCAAGGCCCCGCCGGCCTGTGCCTGCGTCAGGGCGCGGCTCACAACACGTCCTCCGCTCCCCTGGCCCCCACCGGCCCGAGAGTGGGCGAGAGCCGTGCCTAGCCCTCAGCACAGAAACGCTGACCCAGGTACCTGCGGTGCTTGTAGGAGCTGGCGTGGCGGCGCCATCCTGCGGTCCACCCTAAACCCCGGGGGAGCACCTAGCGCTCCCTCACCAAGTTGAAGACGGGCTCGTGTGAGGATCGCAGGCCCCTCCTGCCCCGAAGCCCCTCCTCGCTTACTGCCTTCCCTGTGCTCCGTCCAGCTCCAGAAACGCCGCTGGACTGCGAAGTCTCCCTGTGGTCGTCCTGGGGGCTGTGTGGGGGCCCCTGCGGGCAGCTGGGCTCCAAGAGCAGGACTCGCTATGTCCGCGTGCAGCCCGCCAACCAGGGGGCGCCCTGCCCGGAGCTGGAAGAGGAGGCCGAGTGCGTCCCCGACAACTGCGTCTGAGACTGGCCCACGCGGCCGGCGAGAGGTCACCGGGCTTGGGGCTGAGCAGGGAGCAGCCGGGGGTGTCCTTGCCTCTCTGAGCTCCGCTGGGGGCCGACCCTCTGCCCAGACATGCACGCGGGGAGGGAGGACCATCCTGTGAGCAAGCTTCTGGAGCCCGGCACGTCCACACCAGCGGGAGGGTGGCTCCTACCCAGAGACCGCTGGGCTGCGCGGCAGGAGCCCCGAACCCGCTCAGCCACAAAATACCTCAGACCTGGTGGCCCAGAGCCCCGCCTGCGCCCCCCACCCGACCAGCGCGGGTCCCATCCCTGCCCTTGAATAAAGACCGTGGTCTCGGCGCCCTGGTCTCCTGTTTGCTGGGCGGGGGGCGGGGAGGCAGATGGGCTGCCCTCCAGCCCCGACCTCACGGAGGAGCCAGTGTCGGTCGGTCGGCACAGCACCAAGGAGCCGTCACACCCCCGCCTGCCCTACTGCAGGGAGACACAGCACCCGGTCGGCTGCATCCCCTCCCCCAGGCCCCCGACCTCACGGGGATGGCCTGAGGGCTCCCCGCTCACCTGCCTGGCGCTGGTCTGAGGGCGGGGTTCAGGACGTTGTGCTGCCGTCCTGGATCCCTCCGTGGGGACGGCTGCTCCCTGCTCCTCCTGCTGCGCGGCCTCGTGAGGACTGGACCCCACAGACCCCACCTCCCAGGGCCCAAGCGCTGCTTCCTCCGTCTGCTCCTGCCCACTCTGGGACTCTCCCCCACATGGAGACCCCCTTACCCACCCTCTTCCTCCTGACGGTGCCTCTCCCCCCAGCTCTGGGCTGGGTCCTCCCACTGGTCGCCTCAGGTGACCTGTCCGAGTGCCGTCCGAGTGGCTAGTCAGGGCCTCCCCCCAGCCCCAGCCCATAAGGGTTCTCCCCCCACCGGTGCCCCGGTCCCTGCACACCAGCAGACCTGCTCGTCCTTCTACCGCAGGACACACCTCTCTTGGCGGCTTCCTTTCCGCGGAGCCCCTGCTCCCTCACGGGCTCATAGAACTTCCGTCCAGAGTCCGCCTTCCCCTTCCCTCCACGGCCATCCAGGCCCACATCCACCATGTCGCTGAACCTGGGGGCCGGGCGTTGCTTGTGCCCTCACCCTCTCAGGAGCAGGTGCCCCCCACATCCCTTGACCCCCAGGCCCTGCTCCTTCTCCATCTCCACTGGTGGCGCCCCCGTGCTCCCTGACACCCCTCCCCACGAGCTCAACCTTGGACCCCCCACCCATCCTGCACCATAACAGATCTGTACCCCATGGTTACCGTGGCTCTTGACCTTGGGGAGGAAGCGGTGGAAGCAGCTGCCAGTGATCCGTTTCTCCCCAACTCAGGTGGAAGCCCCACTGGTGAGCTGACACCCTGGGCACACGGACTCCAGGACCGCCTGCTAACCCGACTGCACACTTGCTGGGAGGAGGCCTGTGTGCAGAAGATTCTGAGCAGACGCTCTCCGTGGCCTCAAGGGCACAGTCTCGGGGCACAATGCAAACATACTTCATGCCCAGCACTCCCCATGGGGGTGCCAGCCCTGCCCCACACTGTGAGCCCAGGAAGGACCCAAACCAGGTGCTGTGCCCAAGCCCCGCAAGGCAGTCTCCCTGCACAGCACCGAAGCGCCGCCTGGGCCAGGCTCCCTGAGAGTTCAGGAAGACCGACATTCCAGCCCCGGGCAGGGGCTGCCTTGCAGGCGCCCAGCAAGCAGCTCCGGGGGTGGGGCGCGCACGGTGACTTGATCACGTCATCTGTTTTGCAGGAGCCCTGACCCCCAGCACCTGAAAGTACCAGACAAAGGAGGCACCTTTTACAGTAACGCACTAGGGAAACCACAGGAGGTAGGGGCCCGTCTGAGGCCGCAACAACGAGCGGCCACTGGTGAGTGACGAGCCGGAGCCAGAGTCACCCGAACAGCCCTGCTGACCTCTGGACCCTCAGCCTGGTGTCCAAGGGCCCCGCAGAACAGCCCCGGTGGGGGCCAGCAGACAGACAGCCCTGCGATGGGAGAGCACAGCTCTCCTGCATGTGGTTCTGCACCCTGAATGTAGGGCCACACCCACCCAGGCCCAGGGCCTGAGACCACAGTAAGCATCCGCAACCCCCTGATTAACCCCGAGGCACCTGGAAGAAACACATGCATCCCCCTGGAGACCCCACTGTGGACTCAGGACTCAGAGGGGTCCCACCAAGACATGAATGCACAGTCAAACCCACTGAGCACAGGAAAATGACACCCCTAAGTCAGAAGAGACAGCGAAGTACAAAACCAGACCCACAAAGCGGTTGACCTTGGGAGGATCGTGGGTGGCACGTAGTTAAGCATGTGCACTGGGTTATCCAAACCTGAGCTAAAACTAAAAGGGGACCATTGACCCAAGCCCACGACACCATTACAGATTTTAACCAAACAGATGGGTACACACTGGCGTCCAGTGACAAAGACTGCAGACAGGATTCGTGTGCCCTGCACCATGTGCCACGTGCAGGGCAGGGGAACCCTGGAAGGACCCCCGCGACACCCACGTCCACTTCCCCCTCCTTCTGGAGCACGGGGTTGGGGATGATGAGTGTCCTCTTTGGGGCCAGAATGCTCACTGCCCATGTGGGGTGCTCCAGGCCCTGGAGCACAAACTGAAACAGCCACACACTGCGGACAGCGACCCAGAGAGCAGGGCACCTACAATGGACTCAAGAACTACCGAGATTTGAAGGAGGCACCCAACGAAAGTAAACCTGCATTAGACGCTGCTCAGGCTCTGATGAAGAGGGGATGGGACACTGCTGCTGGCGCTGATGGTGGCAGTGATGGTGGTTGTGGTGACGGTGAAGATGATGGTGGCAGTGATGGTGGTTGTGGTGATGGTGAAGATGATGGTGGCGGTGGTGACAGTGGTGATGATGGTGATGAGGATGACGGTGATGGTGGTGTTGGCAGTGGTGGTGTTGAAGGTGCTGGTACTGGTGGTGTGGGACACTCCTTCAGGAAGCTGGTTGGGGACACCCTCACTGGCAAGCCCCCTCTAAGCAGAGCTCTGAAGAACAAAGGGGAAGCCTTGTGAAGGTGGGGCAGTGAGCATCCCAGACAGAAGAACAGCTCAAAGCAAAGGCCCTGCTGTGTTTGGGGGATGATGGGGGGCTGCACAGCTGGCAGAGGGTGGGTGAGCCTGGCAGGAGGCCTGGTCAGGTGGGCTGGGAGCTGCTGCTCCTGGTGAGTGAAGAATGGATGGAATGTCACACAGGGGGTTTGAGTAGGGAAATAACTCATCAGCGAATGTAGTGAAGGGTCATCTGGTCATTTTGAGAGCAGAGTGAAGAGGGCAAAGGCAGGAAAAGGGAGTTAGAGGCTAGAGCACTAACCCAGAGAAGGGGGTGGGAGTGGTAAGAAGTGAATGAATCCCAGGCTAACTTGATGTAAAGGCAAGAGAAATACTCCTAGACTGGTGTCCAACCAGGGATGTCTATGTTGACTGGTTCTACTTCATAGCATTAAGTTCAGGAAGATCTTGGCCTGATGGGGCTGGCCCAGGGGGAGGGCTGAGGAAGAGGGGCTCACTCCCGTGGTTCTGCTGCGCCATCTCACCCTGAACAGATGGGGGACGCTGGGCCAAGCGGAGTGGTCTCAGCACCTATGCTGGCACCTGCAGGCCTCTCACGTAGGCTGGAGATGCAAATGCTGGGGCTCGAGGGGCTGCTGGATGGGCCCAGGAGGGGCAGGATCCAGCGCCAGCCTGTCCAGGAGGAAGCAGAGTGGGAAGGAGGTGAGATCATGGGAATGACTCACTGGACTCAGCAACAAGCAGGTACTGGGGGCAGGGGCGAGCAGCTGGTGGCACCAGGGAAGAAAGCAGAGGGCAGGACATTGAGGATGACAGGAGGGGTCTTCCTGGCAGAGACAGTGAGCTGAAAAGTCACATCTAACTTCATTTCCACCCAGATTCCACTGAAACCACAAAAAGCATATTTAGATGGCATAGCCCAGGTGCCTGCCTTGGGCTCTGGGTCTGCCCACGTACTCTGAGGAGAGCTCTTCCACCACCACAGCACCCAGACCCCAGACGCTGGATGGACACAACACTTGAGACACAGCCCTTTTCATAAGAGGTAGGGGGGAACTCTCACTTTCTCCTCTCACTTCCAAAAATAAGCAAACAAAAAACTGAACTGGGCTTGGAGGAAAGAGGAGGTGGGGTTGGGGCAAGTTAAGTAAGCTTGTGTGCAGCTGGGAAAGGCTGGGTTACCTGAGGGCTGCAGCTGAGCCTGGGTCAGGGCAGAGTCAGGAAGACAACCTGGTGCCCACCCCCCACCAAATGCTGCCCTCAAGGTCAGTGGTGGCCCTAGGACAAGAGAAGAGCAGAAACATTATCTGTCTATGAAAAGCTTTCCCACCTCCCACCAACCAAAACCAAGCAGTGACTGCAACACAAAGTCATCAATTAAATAAGAAAACAAGTCACTGTAATTGAAAGTCAGCAGGAAAAAAACCAACGATCACAGATACCAAAATTGTCAGAAATAAAATACAGAACAAGTAAAAAACAAGACCAATCAGAAAGGAATAATTAGAAACAAATAGATAGATTAGGAAAGGAAAAATGGTGTAGAATGGCAGGGCCTCGGTCAGTGGGTTGAAGAGCTAATCCAGGCACAGCTGGAGAAAGACTTTGTGAACTGGAAGACACATCACCCAGGATGCAGCACAAAGAGGCAGAGATACGGAAGTATTCAAAATGATATGGAATATAAAACAAGAAGTCACAAAATGTTTTAAATCAGACACTATGAAGGATACAACAGGGATGTGGGGTAGAGATAATATTTAAAGAGAAAGCAGTACAAAAGCTACAGAACTGGCTAAAATAAAAAGGTATCTCTGGAAACAGAAAGCACAGTGTACCCCATACAGGACACCTGACCGAAAGCAGTCAGGTCCATGCACATCACACGAAACTGCCGAGGACCAAACACAGCGAAGTCCTTCCAAGGACCCAGAGGAAGAGAGCAGGCCACCTGTAAAGGAGCGTCTGGGGTGCACAGCCTCTCGGCAGCAGCAGAGGATCAGAAGGCAGTCCAGCAAAACTTTTAACATGTTGAGAGAAACAAACTGGCTGCCCAGACTTGTGAGCTCAACCCCTTCTGTCAAGAATGACGGCTTTCATACATTTTCAAATTAACAACTGAGAGACTTTACTAGCAAGAGAACCACACTGGAAGGACTTCTAGAAGACCTGCCTCAGCACAGACGCATCCCCTATCTCTGTCCCCTGAGAAAGCTCAGAGGCAATGACAGCCCAACAGAAAAACACTCTTTATACCAGGCTTTCATATTAAAGAATTAGTGTCACTCTGTACAAAGAGCACAAGAGCCACAGGACAAGGGGCAGATGGTGGAGTAGGAGGTGAGAGGTGAGACTCTGTCTCCCACCAGGACATCAACTGCAGGGGCAGAATCCTCTGATGTAGCCATTTGGGAACTCTGGAGTCTGTTGATGGCTTGTGACTCTGGTTTGCAGAAGCCTGGAATGGTAAATTGCGTTAATTTTGGTCAATTTTGGCTCTTAGCACAGTAGCAGCTACCCACCCCTACCCCCAGCCAGGAGGCAGGAGGC